CCCCCCCGAGTCCTCGCCGCGCTTCTTATTGGTCCGCTCCTGTCGGGGACGGGGATGGCTTGGCTTTTCTCTGTATTCATATTCAGTACGAGCAAACTGTACAAGAACATGCAACATACAAGCTGGCCTAAAAGTATGTGGAACTAACACACATAGTCTAGTCTTTTTTTATCCATTTTATTTATTTTTTTCTTTTCGGCTTTAGTTTTTTTTTTTTTTTTTTGAGAATTGCTTCGGTTTAGTTTTAGTCTCGTCTTTCAACTTCACAAAAAAAAAGGTAGAGAACAAAAACGTAAAAAAACCCAAACAAAAACAAAACAACAGAACGAACGGAAATGAAAGAAACGCGCATGCAGCTTGGGGCCAGGCCGGGCGGGGCGGGGGGGTTTGGGGCGGGGTGGCGTCCCCCGAGTCATGCTGCTCCCTCCAGCAGGGGGCGGAGTTGGTGGGCAGGGGAGTTAGGAAGGGGGGAGAGTTGGGATGGATTAGTGAAGAAGGCGAGTTCGAGCTTGAGTGACCGTTTTGTTCGGCACCGCTCGCAAAACCAAACGTACAAATATACAGAGGGAGTCTGCACCTAGAGGTACCAATCTGAACTGCAGGTGAAACCCAAACAGGGAAGACGGCTGGAAATGAAAAGGTGATCAATTATCTGGCCAATGTTTTCCCTTAAAGACAGAAAACTTTCTATGATTCTGCCTGAACGAATGAGTCAAGCTTTTCTTCTTGTGCTTCTTTTCATTTTTAACAACATGGATGCGAATGTGCTGCCTCTCCCAAACGATTACCGCTCGGTGTCAAACTGCTGGCCCCTAACGTTAACATCTGCAGAGTCAACAAGCAACCTCTGCAGACAGTTGCATGAAACTCCAACAGTTTGCTTCTCTTAAGACGGAAGATAAAGCTGTGCTCTGATTGGCTGCGGAGCACCACCTCGGCAGGGCGCTCCTGCAGAGACCGCACGTGAAATCAGGGAGAAACAAAAGAAAAGATGAGATCGGACAGAAAGCTCCACAGCTGCAGCTCAGAGAAGAAAACAAAGAAGGCAAAGACGCTGAAAACAAAAGATGGAAGAAGGAGGAGGAAGAGGGAAGGTGTGAGACGTGATTGTCAGACTCCAGCTAAGCATTTGATTGGCTAGTTCTGTCTCTCCCTCTCTCGTTTCTCTCTCTTGTTCCCTGGCTCTCCGTCTGGTTTCTCGTTGATTCCCCCGAGGGCGTCTCCTCCTCGGTGGCGTACTCGGGCTGCGTCTGCGCCCTCTGCTCAGGCGTGGTCCAGCAGCTGTGGTCCATTCTCTGATCGTGTCAGGGCTGTTTTGGGGTGAGCGTTCGCCACTCGGTCACTAGGACCGAACGCCGGGCGGTGGTCCTGAGTCCAGCGACGTCTGAGACGCCAGCCGCGTGAGCGGAGCTAATGTAGGGTCCACCAGTGAGGACGGTGGAAACAGTTTGTACCAGCCAATCACCGTGCTTGAGAGGTCCAGCTCCTCCAGCAGGATCTGTGCTACACCCATGAAACATTTGTGGTCCAATCGTCCGTAGTCACCCCACACTATCACCTAAACAGAGAGCAGCAGCGTCAGAAAAAGCTGAGCACACACACACATTAAAACACACAGATTGAAAGAATCAGCCCCTTGTCGGGTAAAACCAGAGTCCAGAATGTTGCTAAGAACTGTGTTTA